CTGTCAGCCCCCAAATCCACCCCCAATAACCCCTCAAAACTGCCCCCAAGGCTGGTTCCCCCTGGTTTCCCAGTGTGTGTACACCCAGCTTCCCCCCCCACTTCCTTCCCAGTGCCCCCATCCATTCCCAGCGTCCCCATTCCCAGTGCCCCCCGTTCCCAGTGCCCCCCGTTCCCAGTATCCCGTACACCGCTCGCTCCGCAGGAACCGGCTCACTCCGTCCAGGGACAGCTCGTCCAGCACCCGCTCGGGTTTGTCCCCCCCGAGCCCGAGGGTCCGGGACAGGAGGGTCCGGAGCAGCTCCACTGCCGGGGGGACACCAGGGGGTCCACAAAGGCCCCTTCAAGTGTCCCCAGAAGTCCCCAAAGGTCCCATTCTGGACGCCCAGCACCACTCAACGTCCCCAAATCCGCCACAGGATCCCCAAGGGCCCCGAAAGTGTCCCTGAGGGCCCCATAAATGTCCCCAAAGGCCCCATAAGTGTCCCCGAGGGCCCCATAAATGTCCCCAAAGGGTCCCCAAGGACCCCACGACTGTTTCCAAAGGTCTCTTAAAGTGCTCAAAAGCCCCACGAATCACAGAATCACAGAACAGAATCATAGAACCAACCAAATTGCAAAAGATTTCTGAGATCATCAAGTCCAACCCTTGACCCAAAGAGCCCCCAAAAGCTCCATAATGTCCCCCAGGGCCCCGGAGTGTCCCCTAGACCTTCAGAAGTGTCCCCAAAGAGTCCCCCAAAGCCCCGTAAGTGTCTCCATAAGGATGAGCCCCCGGACCACCCCCCCGGGAACCCCCAGACCCACTGTCAGCGTCGGCCGAAGCGCCCGGCTCGGGGTCCGAGACCTGCGGGGGAGCGGGAGGGTCACGGGGGGGGGGGACCCAAAGGGACACCGGGGGGGTCCCCAAAGGGTCGCCAAAGGTCAACGGGGGGGGGGGGAGGCGGGCTCCGGCCGCTCACCGGGGACTCCTCGTCCTGCTCCGCCTCTTCCCCGCAGGCACCTGGACCTGCGGGGGCAATAGGGGGGTGTCAGCGGGGGGTGGGTGGGGGGCGAAGGGGGTCCCGTCCCCGCCCCTCCGCCCCCGGTACCGTCCCGGTCCGCCATGCGCCGTCCCGGCGTGCACCGCGCGGCCGCTCCGCCACACCTCCCGGCGTGCACCGCGGGGGCCGCTCCGCCACACCTCCCGGCGTGCA